TATTTACAAGCAATTCATGCACTGATAATGAAGCAGCAATAGGACTCCGTAATGGAGCCTAGTACAATTGATACAAATGCTTCACAATACCCTAGCCTATGCACTAATGAATTACTGTAAGATTTTCATGACATACAGTAATATGTATCATATTCATAGTATGGGAATGTTACATAAAAACCTGTGATAATGGGCAGGCACACAATTTCTCAAATTACATACTATACGGTAATGTAAGTCTTTGAAAGCAGTTCTAGAACAGTAAAAAAAAACTAATATAGTAATTTTATATTAAATATTACTCACCTTATGCCTATGTAAGGATAGGCTGTCCACTTCCATGCAAGTCTTACATGTGATGTCCTACATAATGCATACTTGATGACAACTAAAGAATGCCTCATATCATTCTTGCCACACAGTTACTATATTCTCAAATACAGGCACACATACAACAACTAAGCTTATTAACTGTGTGGCATGATTACTTATGATTGACTAAGTGGATCCTCATTCTCATCTTCACATTGAGTCATCTAAAGAGTTGGGAAAGGAGTTGCTCTTGCTGTCTCAGGAGTGGCGGGGTGGAAGGGGAGGCAGAGGCAGGCAGGCACACTCAGAATAACTTTACGGGTATACATCATAATGTCTAACTTGTTATTTCACTTCTCTTAATGTTTCTATTTGGTAGCAATCCTTCCCCCATTTGCTCTAGTTCCAGTGCCTGTATCATCGAAGAGTCCAGATTATAAAATAAGTCAAAATTAGTCTTGAATAATCAGAACTCTTCTCCCAAATTGTCTAATGTCAGTTTGTTTCCGGGCATTGCTTCATTGCACCTTTTCCCTTAACGTTTGGCACTGTTAACTCCTATCAGGTCTTCAATCATTTCTCTGATACAGGGTCTATTAGCTCTTGAGTTTCTCCAACGTCTGTATCTTGACACCCTCCACCCCCTACCATGTTTGCCATATTCACAATCTATTTCCTTGATTGGCTATCATAAATCCCATTAAGTCATGTACATCTGAACAGTTTACTCCAGCAAGAATTCATTATTTCAGGCTTGATGGTTTTCACAGCTTTTTCGGTATCGAAAAATGATGTAATCCTTCGAGATTTCCATGGTGTTCAATCAGGGTACTCTCCCATAGCATTGACATTCCTTTCCATGCAGTGGAATGAGCCATAAATATCTCTACAGCTCACTGATCTAGAGGCTCAATTGATGTGTTTGGGGCCAAGTAGACACTTCAGTGCCTTCCGTGTTAAACTCAGAGTTCTGAGAAGCCTGGACGTGGCCCAGTATCGAAAGAACTTGAAAACACAGTCCCTTGAGGACAAGGTACTTCCTGACTTCAGGGGCAAAGCATGAATGTAATCAGCGCAGAAAAAGCGTTCTCATTTGTCCAGACCTTGTACAACCAAAAGACCCACAGTTGGTATTTATCTTTTCCCTTCAATGCCTGCATGTCAGGAGCTTTAAAGATAAGGGCAGTCCTGATCAGAAATCAAACCGCATTTGCACGTAACAGTAGAATTAGCCTATCTAACCCTTCCTGCCTTAAATCCTAGTATTTGCTTCTCTTCCTAATAAATGTGACTTTTCCCCCTAAATAATGCCATTGGTCTATACTAAAAACCTGCTCAGATATTCTTTTTCCACAATGATTTTAATGGCTCGTGGAATTCCTCTATGGCCTCTTGGTCAGTAGAAACTGCTTCTTTTGTGATCTTGACAATTTTAAAGCCAAACCTTTCTATCCAACCATCCTTTACAGGCACTAAAGTCTCCAGCTTTAAATCCTTTGCCTTCCTTTTGCTTTAAGCTGTTGCCAAATGAAATAAGTCTATGGGTATGCCTTTCTTATAGCAATCCTGCACCCACATAAATGCTTATTTTCAATACACTAAAAAGGTATTTCACAAAAAATGTTTTGCATCTGCTGGTGTAGCACAACCATGACTTCAGGAATTTCATTTTCTTTTCTTCTTTTAACAACAGTCCCTAAGCTTGATTCATTTATCTTGAAATGGTGGGCACCTGCAGCAGATCTCAATCTACAGTGCTATCAAGGAATTCAACAACTTCTTGTAATCATAACTGTGCTTCTTGGGAGCACCTCCAGCATCTTTAGTGGCACTTCGTATGGGTCCCCTGGTGTTCTGTTTATGATATTGCACTAAACACAAAAATAAGTGACAACTCCGAGAGCACTTCGTACAATATGCGATTTACTTAAGACATGAACTGCTCATGCAGAGATGACTAGTGTTACGTGATGTTTTGAGTTCACCTCAACAACAACAGGAGGTGGTTATGAAATTACTTAAGTAGCACAATATATACAATTAATTTCATGCAGTTATTTCACACTGCCTCTTTGTTTTCTTGACTGGGAATAGCAGCATGTACAGTCTGTGTTTATGTGCCTCAGTTTCATTAAATATTAACTTTTCATAATAGATTTGTGTATATCTTATGGTAATAAATGAAAAAATAGACTAGTACCTACTTACGTCTTATGCATTTGACATATCTCTAATTTTTTTTTTGGTATTTCTACTCTACAGGGTTTACCTGAGTTTTTAAAATCGTTGCAAATCTTCAAAAAAATTTTCCTATTGAATAAACCCATTTATAAATGGGTGTGTGCAGTGCAAAGGCTGTTGTTGTTCAAGGACCAACTGTATACATTTTTTTCAGAGTAGATGAAAACATTCCCCAACTTGTTTTAGCTTATTGTAACTTTGATATCGTAACCTGATATTGTAAGAACACTTCAAAATTTTAGACCAATACACTTCCATTAACAAAGATGCAAAAATCTCCAAAATATTCTGTATTACTTATGTGTAATTTAAACCTTCTTTTTCTAATACATGCATTGAAAACTATATATTCCTCTCTAATCCCTGTTGTGACTGAATCCTGTTTTTTCAATCCTATTTTTTGAAGTGTTATATTTTTATTACTCAGTTTCAAATATTCATCTTCCATCCTGATTTCCTCTTTGATCAATGGGTTACTTAGAAGTATGCTGCCCATTTTCTCAGCACTTGGGAATTTTGCAATTGTCTTTTTACTGATTTTTCGTTAAATCGCACTATCATCACATCAAGAACATACTCTATACAATTTCAGTCTATGTAATCCTTTGAAATGCATGCAGTGTCTGGTCTTCCTGGGTGAACCATCTACATGCCCTTGAAAGAAATGTGTTATTTACAGTGTTGGTTTTGGTGTTCTAATAAATGTTGATTTGGCTGATAGGTTCAATTGTTCTGTGCTTATACTGGTTTTAGAGTAACTACAGAAAGAGGCAGAATCACCAACTGTAATTGTGAATTTCTTTTCCCCTTTAATTCTGTCAAATTTTGCTTCATTTTGAAGCTCTGCTATTAGGTGTGTACCCAATAGGATTATTGGATCTTCCGACTGAGTTGACCGACCCTGTCATGCCTGCTAAAACTTTTTCTCTCAAGACAAATACCTTACGACTTCATGCATATGTGGAATCTTAAAAAAGGAAGAAGAAGAAAAAGAAGAAGAAGAAGAAGAACAACAACAACAACAACAAGAACAAGAAGAAACAAAAAGGAGAACCAGACCTATAAATATAGAGGATAACCTGATGATCATCAGAAGAGAGGGAGGTGGGGGATGGGCGAAATGGGTGAAGGGGAGGGGGAGATAGAGGCTTCCAAGTAGCAGGATGATTAAGTCACCAGGAATAAAAGGTACAACATAGGGAATGTAGTCAACGATCATGTAACAGCACTGTAAGGTGACAGATGTAGCTACACTTGCAGTGAGCATATATAATGTATAGAGTTGTTCAATCATGTTGTACACCTAAAACTGATGTAACAGCGTCAACTCTAAGCAAATAAAAAAATTTTCTAAAAAAAAAAAAAAAAAATTTTCCCCCTTAAAAACCAACCAACCAAAAAATACTTTCTGGTATTACGCTTTCTCTTAAAAACTTAAAATTGGTGGGGCACCTGGGTGGCTCAGTGGGTAAACCGCTGCCTTTGGCTCAGGTCATGATCTCAGGGTCCTGGGATCGAGTCCCACATCGGGCTCTTGGCTCAGCGGGGAGCATGCTTCCCTCTCCCTCTCTCTCTGCCTGCCTCTCTGCCTACTTGTGATCTCTGTCAAATAAATAAATAAAACCTTTAAAAACAAATCAAAAAACTTAAAATTGGTATCAATATAGCCATACTTACTTTCATATGAGTAGTGTTTACATGAACCTACAGTCAAACCGTACCTTTCATAAGCAGCATATAGTCGAGTCTTTTATTACAGTCAGACCATCTTTATCTTGCATTCAGAGTGTTCAGGAAAGTCCCATTTGTTCCTTCTTTCCTGCTTTTCTACTCAGTTTTTAAAAAACAAGGAGGTCATTTTCTCATTCAACTTCAAAGGCTTTCCCTATTTGGGAGTTGATTTTTATTTTGGTAAAATATACATAATAAAAAATTGAGCATTTTAACCACTTGTAAGGATACAGTTCAGTGGTAGTAAGTACATTTACAATGTTGTGCAACCATCACCACCACCCACCTCCAGACCTTCATCAACCCAGACAGATACACATACTCTGTACCCATCAAGTAGGAACTCCCATTACCCCTTCCTCCTAGCCTGGCAACACCAGTCTACTTTGTCTCTATGAAATTTGACTATTCTAGGAATATGATTATATTTCTCCTGTAGGTGGAATCATGTATTTGTCCTTTTGGGTCTGGCTTATTCATCCATTTTGTAGCATGTGCCAGAATTTCCTTCATTTTTAAGATCGAAAAATGCTCCATTGTATGTATAAGCCACATCTTGTTTATCCTTTCATCTGTGATGGACTCTTGGGTTGTTTGCACTTTCTGGCTCTTGTGAATAATGCTGCCATGAACTTGTGTGTACAGGTATCTGAATCCTTGCTTTCAATCCTTTGAGTGAACCTAGGAGTGGAATTGCTGGATCATAACTGTTTAACTTTTTAAGAAAAACTTGCCTTCTGAAAGTATTGTTTAATGCTATTACTGTTTAAATGTATCCAGGAGTTTGTAATTTCCCTTGTCCTCCATTTTTTTCTTGCCTGCTATGGGTTAATTTTCATTCCTAAGGATATCCTTTCAAGTTCCTTCAGTGAGGGACCGAAAATAAATTCTGGTTTTTGTCCGAAAGTTTCCATGAAGTACAGGGCAAGAATTTGGCTGGGTCTGTGTTGCTGTTTTGGGCTCTGGTCTTCAGCACAGAGAGAACAGCGTCTACTTTCTTCTGACCTCCACTGTTGCCGTGGAGAAGTCACCTGGTTAGTCACTTCTTTGAGGATCAGGTTTTCCCCACTCCGGCTGCTTTTAAGAACCTACTTAAAGTATTCTTTTAATTTGTTATTATATGTGTATTTTTAAAATTTACCTTGCTTCACACAGGTGGGCTTCTCCAATCTGATGACTTTGTGAGTACTGGGAAACTATCTCTCAAGACCATACCCCTCCCCCGCCCCGACCATCCTCTCAGCTTTCAGTCCCTGATCACCAGATCTGTTATTTTTTTGGTGTCCTGCTTATCAGTTAACATCTCTTTATAGAATTCTATTGTCCAATGCTGTATTCTGTATTTTTACCAATCTCCCAGTTCATAAAAGAACTTTTTTTGGTTGTTTAACTCAGTTGCTAAGTTTCTAACTTTAACCGTCATGTCTCATTTCTATAAATTCCATTCATCTTCTTCCCATATCTGGTCATTTCTGGAAATCACATTTTTCCATCATATTCCTATACCCTCGATTCTTTTAAGAAGAGCAAACATTTCAGAATATAAAATAACACTGGATCATTTCAGTCTGTAAACCTCTGCAGGTTTAATATGGCAATCTGAAGGCCCTTGCTGACTCGTGCAGGGTGGCTTTCAGTTTTCGTTATTTGTTGTTATAATGTATTTGATTGTGAATAACAGTCCTGGAACTGTCATTCCCTTGAGGCCTGGCTTGAAGCTGGTTTCCTTTACAAATGACCCACGTTTTCCTATTCCAGCTGAGGGAAACTTCTAAGTAGCGGTCCCAATTTGAGAGCCAAACCTGCAAAAGAACTTCTGATAAATTCCCAGGGAAGATATTTCCCACTGATATGGGCAGATACGTCTACCTATCTTTTCCAAGAAATTTATGTTTCTCAAAGTTCATCCATTACAGGTTTTAACTTGAAGAGGGGGCTGGCATTAGGCAGGGATCTTTGACCTCCTACTCTGAGCACATACGAAAAAAACCCACGCTCTAGGCCTTGTCTCTACTACTCGATTTCAATTTCAATCCTTTTCTTTAGTACAACTATAGCTGTCTAAGAATCAGGGAGATACAGAAAGGTGGCTTCTTGATGCATTTCTTCCATCAGAAAGGACTATTTTAGGTACTGCTGTTCTAAAACTTCTAACAGTCTCCTTTTCCTTTGTAAACTCTTACTTTAGGAAAGGCCAAAAGAAAGACAATGTAATTCGACTGCTTTGAAATACCTTTTTAGAACCATTTAACCAATCACTGTTATTTTGTTGTTAACTTCCACTCCAAATTTAGCTGACTGGTGATGTTTCTTTGCAGAAGGGTTTTGAAAAGGTTTCCACTTGGCTGGGAAGAAACTTATGTCCATGTTAGCATTATTATAATAATCCCAAATCACTATAGCATCTAATTTCTTTGCTTTTAAGATGTGCTCCTGAAGCAACCTCTTAGACTTGTAACATTTGAGAAAATTGTGTTAAACCTACAACCAGAGGATAACAATGCCAATAAGTAGAGTCAAAATATTATAGGAATACTTTAATGCAAAATGCTTAACACTTAAAATTAGCAAAGCTTCATTTAAATTAAAACTCCATTGAACTAAAGAAAGATGGTTAAACCCAAGAATCGTACAGTAGTTGATTTCTGCTATCTAATGCCAGTCCTAATGCAACACAGCAGGGACTGTGCCGTGAGCAGTCGCTTCCTCCGTTGCTCATCTGAGCCCTACAGGGTGAGGGAGAGGGTACTCAGACAGACACAGAACAAAATACAACCAAATAAACTGCGCAGTGATTCCTAATAGTAATAACCCCTTCTGACTAAGCTGTCCAGCCCAGCAGCTGGGGAGTAACTGCCGGTACTGCTCCCGAGCGGATACGAGGTTCTGTTTTTACAGCACGGTACAAGTTCTGCACTAGGTGGAAAGTCACAGTTTAAGGATGCATGTTCTGTAAATAGTTCCTACATATACACATTTAGTGTGTGTAAACACTAGAAATACACATTAGACAGGGTACCCTTACCAGGTGGGTACAGTTTAAAAAAGAAGATGAGGTAACATGAATCTCCAAGTCCACAGGGCTCGTGCCCGAAGAGTGTGAACAGCTGCCAGTAGCTCGCTTCCGCTGCACAGGGCTTACGGCGCCTCCGCGACCCCTAGGGTTTGCCAAAACCGGATTCGCTGGCTTTCAGCATAGCCACTGCATCTTTCACTGCGTGGTAGATCACATTCTTCACCTGTGAGAATGGCAGAAATTATGGTAGGTTATCCCTAAATCCACCATCTGTCACTAAGACTATACATTTCCCCTGCCAGTTTTACTACCACTCTCTCTCAAGTTCAAACGTGGTATTCAAAATGTCAGTACTCAAAAGGGACCTAGACTCCTTTAGGCCAGTATCTCATACACATTTTAAACTCATGCCTCCTCTTCCCCCTTCCATAGGTTTTGATGTCCCATGACCCTGAGCCTGGTGAGTACAGGGAGAGACAAGCCCCAAAGTACAATTTTTCAAAACTTGTATGTTCCCCTAGTTTTCCAAACATAAAACTACGTTACATCACTCACTGCTGAAATCATCTTTAAACCTACTCTCTGAGATCTTCTTTGGATCCCAGAGATTCTGTTCTGCTCTCCTCAAGGATGAGAACACCACCGCAATAAAAGTCTTTGTTCAAGACCAATGTCTGGCAGTTGAGCCAAGGTCAGAAGTCAAATATATATATTTTTTCTTTCTTTAAGATTTGAGAGACAGACAGAAAGAGCATGTGCACTCAAGCACAAGCGGGACAGAGGGAGAGGGAGAGAATCCCAAGCAGACTCTGCCTTCAGTGTAGAGCCCAGACATGGTCCTCAATCGCACGACCCTAAGATCACAACCCAAACTGAAACCGAGTCAGACACTTGACCGACTACACCAACCAGGTCCCTCAAAGATCCATTTGTTTTAATTACCCAAGTGTTTCTCTTGGGGCATAGTCACTTTTAGAGTTTAAACCAATCACAAACCAAGGTAAGACTTCCTCTATGTTCATTCCTCCTTGGCCTAAGTAGACAGTGAAACTACACATGAAGCCAATTCATCAACTCACTATACCCAGTGTGACACAGTCAAGTTCACGGACTCTCTTAGGTCAGTAATGGGCCATGAAGCAAGAGAGAGAGAATGCCAAGAATCAGTGATATTGTTACCTGTAATTTATCTTCATGATTGGTATGAGTCTGTGACAAATAACGGAATTCCTGAGTAAGCCAGAAACAGTGTTTAACATGCTCTGGAGAAACAAAGTCTTCAGCCACTTTAATACAGCTATATAAGTTATGAACCTGGAAAACACAAGTTCCATCAGTAACACACGTGCAAAAGATCTTACAGTGTGAAGAGAATAAAGTAGTGTTTCTTGCCTGATGCGGAGCTCCTGCTGGTATAAACACCACATCCCCAAGAAACTGTACAATAGCCCAGCCTTGAACTCCGTACTCCTGATGAAGACGCTTTCTTAGTGATCGGTCTAAATACCAGCTCTGATCATGAATGGGATCATGGTCTGCTGGGTTTTCTTGACCTTGCTCTTCTGATACCTAGAATACATTTGAAATATTATGAAACTGAGTAACACACAGAGGCACAATAAGGGCATTCCCCCGCTCCCCCACCCCCAGGCCCCCAAAGAGTGTGGGGAGACAACAGATGTCATCAGGCCCTTGACAGGTACCCCACTGGCAGAAAGAGACAAATAACACTCAAAGACATTAACTGAAAGAACCAGAAGATCGAAAGAAAATGTGGCTTTCCCTTCTGTCATTGCCAACACTCTCTGACCGGCAGTCTGCGTATTTTTCTAAATACTATGTTTGGACAATAGTTTGGTCTAGACTTTTGAACATAAGTAGGCTCGAGTTCCTTAGATATAGACTTCCTGTGTGGCAGCTATTAAAAATCTATATTCATTTCACAATCCGAGTCACTGAGCAGTCCTAAAGACAGCTACAGATTAAATATGTTTATTCTAGACACAGTATTTGGCAGCAGAGACCCACAGACTCAGGGAGATGCTATCAGAGGAACAATATGGTGACCAGCAGGTTTTGGAAGAGTCAAATTATCCTAAGTCAGAAACAGCTTAATTCAAACCAATGCTGGTTAAGGACCTACCTGATACCAGGCAACAGGGTAGGGTGTTCAGATCTGATCCTCATGAACAACTAAAGAGTATCAGCTACAGATACCCTGGCTGATAAAAACCGAATGCACCCATCTTTCCAGTTGCCTAGAATTTCCACACACAGGCCTTGCTGAACAAACTGACAACTACTGGAGACTTGGAATCTTCAAAGCCCCTGTATTCCTCTTTCCAATGGCCCTTTGCAAGCTAATGGCCATAAGTAATGCCTGAGGCTTTCCTGACCTACTACTAAATGAGGGTGGACAAAACCCACAGGGACCTAAGTAACTCACTCAGAACACAGGCATCAAGGGCCAAGGAATTACACATGAATTTCTGAGGTGCTCAGATTTGTAAAACAAATAGTTGCTAAACAACCGGAGGAACAAACCTGAAGGGAGAGCACAGAATCTCCAAATGCACTATAATGTAAAACACAGTCAAAGGGGCACATGGGCAGCTCAGTGGGTTAAAGCCTCTGCCTTCGGCTCAGGTCATGGTTCCAGGGTCCTGGGATCGAGCCCCACATCAGGCTCTCTGCTCAGTGGGGAGCCTGCTTTCCTTCCTCTCTCTCTGCCTGCCTGACTACTTGTGATCTCGGTCTGTCAAATTAATAAATAAAATCTTAAAAAAAAAAAACAAAAACAAACCACAGTCATAAGACAAGGCCTCCTCTTCTCAGAGGTGTGCGCTTGATCATTTAGAAATCTTTGTTCCTCAGCATCCAGCTTCAGCCTAGTCAATCTGACACGCAGAGATTAAACTTTTGAGGTTATGGTTATTGCCCGACAGCCAGTCAGTTCTCAACGTGGAGTAGTTTCTAAGAGTGCTATTCTCCATGCCTGTCTTCATAAGCCATAGGATAGAAAAGCATACCTTTTTAAGGAATTCTCGTATTTTCTCCGTGTCCTTTGCAGCATATATGTGCCAGAGGGCTCCTGGCTTCTCTTTTCCTTCAATAAATCGCTTTATTGTGAGTTCATCAGAATCTCCATCTTGGATGGTTTTAAGGACTTCTGGAGCAAGAAAAAAGCAAGTATCAGACCACAGTCT